CACAGAAAGAGAACTTCTTATTGGTCAGATTCCAGTCAGTAAAGAACAAATAGTATCAGGACAGATTTCTTACACTTGGCTGTGCTGCATTGTGAGAAAAATGCGAGCCTTATCTGCCGCCAATGAAAATGCACTAAATTACCAGTAAAAATAGATGGAATAGTTAATTAGTTCAGAATGGAAATGGCATAAAATGACACAAAATTGAGCATTTATACTCATTTGAACATTATAATGTTCTTATTTTAAATTCTTGGCAACTTTTTTTTGCAAAGATTAGTGGATTTTTATTTCAACATGACAAGGTTGAATCACTTTAACTGATAGATTACAGAGAAACAAACATACCTTGTCGACGTGGTTTGCTATTTCAAGCACTCTGGTCTCTATTGTCTTCTTATTGCCAAACTTCTTATACTAAAAAGAAATGAGAAGTATAAATGATTGTTATATTATTATTAAGTTAGTAACAGCATCCCACATACAAAACATAATCTACTTCTTCGGGGGGAAAGTGTATCACTCATAAGATTGTTATCATTAATAGGTTACATCTGAAATAATAGACTCAGTCAGAAAGAGAAAAATTCAAACCTCTGTGTTATCGACCACCACAACCAGCTCCACTGTTCTAGGTTTTCTTGCACGGTCTTTGGTCTGTGCTCTGCTTCTCTGAATAACACAAAACATGGAAGATATCAACAATATTAAAGTGTGTTTAACAGAAATTAAAACAAATCCCAACCACCATTAAATATAATCCAGCACATAAAGGTATAGTGAGTAGAATAAGTGAATAAAATACGCAAAATACAATAAAGTAAGAAGTAAAATAAACAAATAAGACACATAAAACATAGTGGAACCAGAAAAATAAAACTTTGCTTTAAGGATATTTAATATAGCCCACTAAATGACTGTGTTTTAATGTTCATGTTTGATGACTTTATCTATTAAAATATGCATAAAGATGCACATTGAAGCTAACGCTCACATCCTGTACTACTTTGCAAATGTTAAGATCTATTATCTCTCACTTCCGCTACTTAGTCTGTTTTTTTGTGCGATCCCTTTTGTTAATTTCCTTTGTTTTAGCGTCCTTTCTTACATTGAACTGTATGACAATGTGAAGCACAAAACTGCAGAAAACATTTAAATTTTCAAAAAATTTAACTGTGTTTGGAACATGTTTGTTTTTTGTCATAAATTTGATGCAGATTACAGAATTTGAACTTTGTATTGTGATATTTTACACAGTTACACCATTTTACTGTAGTTACTAAAGCTATAGTTAATGCTGGCTCTCAGACATCAGCTGTAGGATTCAAACCCTGGTGTATATCTGTATGTGTCCACGCTGTGTGCCTTTACCAGACTGCCGAGCTTGAACAGTCCAGACGGATGAGCTCCATGATCATAGAAAGTGGTCGTGTTTCCATGGGAACAGGAGCTCCTCTTCCTCCTCAGGTGTTTGTAGTTGTAAACAGCATGAAGACCCTCGTCACTGTGAGCGTCAGAGCTCTGTCTTTCATCGCGTTGCCCCGCCTCAGCGCCGGCCAGAGGTTCGATAAGGTACATTTGGTCCTGGAGACGCACAAACCCCCTGTAGTGCAAAACAGAAACTTTAGTGTGGACAGATCTCAAATTTGCTCATTACTTGTCTTTCATTTATCATGCTTTCGAGTTTCCACAGAAGTTTGCATGGCCTAATTTAATTGGGTTACAGGTTTTCACAGACACAAAGCTACATCTTAATGGTCTTCATGATGGAGGAAATGGATGCAGAGGGACTGATCCTCTCATTGGATTGGACGCACAGACCCACATCAACATAGGTTTTGATTACATTTGTCTCTCTACTTAGGAAAACAGTAATCTTTTTGTAATTAGAGATACAGGATGAGAAAAAAAAAAGTACATCCAGCATTACTCACTTGATTCCTGAACACAGTCCCACGCTGGCAGAGGACTCCTCCACTCCCACAATGTGTCCATGGTAGTAGCAGTGAATCTGAACAGACATTCATTATTTGTCACAGAATCAAAGGAGAGATTTCAATTCACACTGTTTTTCTCAAGCACAGTGGAAGACTGTGGTCTAATTTGAAGAAGATATATTGTACTGTGTGTGACATGGTCAGATAATATTAATTACAATATTAACCTTATATGTCGATTCCTCTTCCACATTACTCAATAGTGGCAATGTGAGATGTCACTCTCATGAAGAGGAACTTTGCAGTTGAGAAACTGATATTTAGAAATAAGAGGAAAAATACCGGCATGGATTGCATAAAATGTCCATAAAAGGGATTTCATAAATGCCAATGATAAAGATGACTGAGATCCGTATGAATACTAATTTTAATTAAATTAAATCTGTTATTTGTGTTGTATAGACGTGAAAACATGACTGGTGAGAATATAACACTTAAAGTATGTGTGTTGGAAAAGCTGTAACCATATATTGATATTCTCTTATCAATAGGACAATGTTGAAGATCAACATGGATGTATTATATTCTACAGTGCAGAGCTGTGACTTTGATATAAGACTGATCATTTCACCAGCAAGCAAATGCACTAAAACCACTGAAACTGGGTGGGTAGGTGGCGCAGGAAATCCTGTACTTGATTCACGGAATGTATAATAAAATAGTTCATGGGAAATATATACTAGCCTGGTTTGAGACCTCTTAGTTACTCACATTTGCGCTTTATTCAGCGATTCAAATTGAATGAATGAAGTGAAACAAAGCTGATCATGAATACAGGGATTATGTGAATGTTAGTGAAATGGTAGTGAAAGAATACATACCCTAAGATCTGGAGTAGTTGTGACTTGGGTGCCCTGATCAGAATAGTGTGTCACAGAAAAGCTTTTCCCAACCAGATCTCTGAAAAGAAGAGAGTATTTTTATGTGAATAATATTGACAAATTAAGAAAGAAAGCTCAGTATAACATATAAAGATGCACAGTAAAATAAAAAATATAGCATCAAAAAACATCTCACTTGTTCTTTTCCAGGTGCAGAGTGTAGTTTTGCCCTTCAATCGTCAAAGAGTACTGGAGTACATCAGGGTATGTCTACACACACACACACACACACACACACACACACACACACACACACACACACACACAGCAGAAAAGACTTTAATGCATGCTTTAAAAAGTTAAACACAAACTGACAAACTGATAAAATAATACAGTAGAGTGTGTGTTAGGCCTACCTGATGTGTAGCAGCATCATTATTGAGAGATGAATCCTTCAGTTTCTGAGGTATCACTGTTTGGTACTTCATCACATGAGGTAGGGTCCTCACACTGCCGGCAATTACTCCTGTAAGTGTGAGGGACATGGTATGAGACAATAAGACAGAAAGAAAGAAAGAAAGAAAGAAAGAAAGAAAGAAAGAAAGAAAAGAAAAGAAAAGACAAGTCGTACCCCATGAGGAGAATAAAATCCATATAAAATATCCAGCTTTTGGCATGTTGCTCTACCGGGCGCACTGTGTCATTGTGTGCTCGGCGGTCTGAAGGAAATACTGAGGATCCTCAGCTCTCCGCCCCTTTTCTCTGCTGTAATATCCAGAAAATGACCGTATGAGGCTGAGAGACCACGAGTCACACCCCGAGCCTTTAAAAAGTTAAACGTTGTTCTTTACACAAATGACTGAGAACTGAGATGGGTCACAAAAGTGCTGTGAAATCAAATTTCTGATTTAAAAAAAAAACGCTCGTTTAGAAAGTGTGTAAAAGTTAATTTAGTAGTTTACTGAACAAAAGAAAGTTTGGCTGTGGCCTGAATTTCCCCTCCAACGCAATTATTCCCACAAGTTGTTAAGAGTTTCTCATTTTCTTTAAGACATTGTTCTCCCTGATTAACAATACACTCAATTGACAGGCTCCACAGACATTTCTATAACAAATATAAACTAGATTAACAATAAACTGCAGTTGCGTGTAGACAGCTTTTACTGGGCAGATGAATAATATTAAATTATGGGAAACTCTTAATTTAGTCCTCCACTTTAGATACCAGCAGATCGGCAAAGACCCTCAGTGGAGTTTGTCGCCACCTGCTGGTAAAATGGCAGCTCAGTCACTTTCACTCAGAGGCTGTTTTTACTTTAATATCTCAGGACAGTTTACGATCTTGCATAATTAGCGTTACTACGTGACTCATTGATAATTAAAACACTCCTGGCAGAGGTTTTTTTTTGCAACCCCAACGCCTTGTTCACAAGTTTTTGTGATAATTTGATTGTATGCACTTATTATTCAGTGTAAGCAAAAAATATCAACTGAATAATTAACGCTGTAAGATTTTATTTTTAACACACAATAACAATCACAGGCTACGTGAAATAAACATGAAAAGAAACAGTAAATCTCTCTATAATATTAAAAAAAGAGAGCATAAATGTAAAAAAAAAAAAGGGTATACATTGTGAAATGTCTCCACAAATCTTTACTGCTATTTTGCTGCAATATATATATATATATATATTTCTTTTTTTTTTCTGAGACGAGATAAATAATTTGTCATTAAAACAAACAAACATAAAATAGTGCTTGCTATTCCTCCATCCGCTGCAGTGGATATTAATATCAGTTATTACAGAAATAGATGAATCTAAATTGTCTGGTTAAAAGTCGTTAACCTTTAAATGATATCTAATTCTTTATATCTGACTCAAATATTTGGGCTACAGGAAACATGTAGAAACTAAAGCTGTAACACGGTGAACCTTATGAATGAGTTTCTTTGACCTGAGGAGAATATTTAATTCAATACATTTATTTTCTATGTGTGCGCAGAAAGAAGTTATAATAATTAAACACTGTTGGGGGACTTCTTTTACTTATTCTGATGGATAACACCGAAGAAAACCCCACAAATAAATCTGATGTGACCTTCTTGTGTCAGTTTTTTAAGAGTCCGGCCAGTTGGTGGCGACAACGCGCCATTTTGTTTGTTTTCTTGACAACCGCCCAAAAGAATGACGACATCTACGACCACGACAGGAAACTCACTCGCGGCAGTTGAAGAGCCCGTTCTGGATCACGTTGCCAACGTTACGGTCAAAGGAAAGTGTTCAAACGGGTCGTAAACGATGCTGCAGCCGCTTCCAACAGAGGGACGAGTGTCGGCGGGGAGCTGCGATGAAGACCGCCCGACGGGAAACACACAGGAGCCGAGGCAGAGTGAGGATGAGGAGGGAACCCCGTTCATCTTCACCCCGCAGCTCATCCGCCTGCACAAGGACCACGAGCTGTTCGAGGTAACGTAGCAACCGCCGGACTGACCGTTGACGCACTGGTCGGATAGCCGTTAGCGCAGGTAGCATCATGGCTGACGCTGTTGTTTACTACAGGATGGGGACGTTCACAGACACATGTATCTACAAGACCTCTACATCTCAGAGGCAGACGACAAGACCACACTCTGGTAAGAAGACCCCCAAAAGTTAGAGTCGTGTTTCTTTGGAAGTTTGTGCTTGTGTGTGAATGTGGGAAGCAGAGAAGCTAAGGAAGTTCCTGGTTAAATAACAAACAAAACAAATGTGGTTGAACACAAATACAACAAAACAACAACACTGCAAATATAATTATATGTCACACTGCTAACTTGTAAACAATTTACTAATTTATTCAAGTATCTGGACATTTTGTACATATTCTCTCACTATTTATATTTGTATATAGTGGCTTCTTTTTTATTGTTTCTATTTTTTTAAATCTTTATTTCTATTTTTCTACGCTTGATTGTGATTCTTATGCACCAATGTACCATGGCGAATTCCTCCTATGTGAAAACTTACTTGTGTCAAAACACATTTATATTTTGTTGACTAAATTGATATCTGTGAGTTTTCTACATTAAACTCCTCCATGAATATTATTGTTAAATATAATGGAAAGTGGTTTGTTTATTTTCTAACTTAATATTAAACTCCATTGTCACTGTGTTAGAAATAATGATGTGGCCTCCCAGTGTATATATATTTGACCAGTTATCTATAGAAATTTAAAAAAATAAAACAACAAACAACAATTTGACCCCAGAAATGATAATTTCTTAGTAACAGCTATGTTCTTTTCTACCTTTTTAACTCTAGGTTGTCGGTCACCTTCCTTCTCCTCTTGTCTTTTTTTCAGTGTGTCAGAGTTTGCCTGTCACATTTCTGGCTGCAGTGCAGTCTTCAGCACTTTGGAGGAGTATGAGCACCACTACAACTCCCTGCACAGACACGTGTGCTGCTCCTGCCGTCGCTCCCTGCCGAGTGCCCGGCTCCTAGACATTCACATTCAGGAGTGGCACGACTCTCTCTTCACTATCCTCGCCCAGAGGCAAGATATGGTAAGTTACAGCTTGAGCTTTCTTCTCCTGATTACACCTTTTATTACTTGATACTCACCCTGTTAAGCTATGAGCCAAAAGTTGTATGTAAAGTGAACTATTTTAAACATTCTTTTTGAGATGAATATTAAGGCTTTAAAGATATGTTTTATAATTTGTTTCAGTACCAGTGTTTGGTGGAGGGCTGTGGACAGAAGTTCAGAACTAGTAAACACCGGAAGGATCATCTAATAAGAATTCACAAGTATCCTCCGGACTTCAGATTTGACAAAACCAAAAAGGACCGACGGTAAGATTGCACTTACTGTGTTTAGTCCACTAGATGGCAGCAAAACGTCAGTAAAAAATATTACTCTAAGCAATGTTTCAGTCGAGGAGAGCCCATGTTTGTTATGGTAAACAGAATTTTTACAAATTCTTGCAGAGTTGATGTAATATTTCTATTTTCACTTGACATGATTTAATATTATTGGTAAGGCAAGTTATAGCGTGACATCTATTGCTGCCAGTGTGCAACTTTTGATTTACTTTCCTTTATAAATGCATATTTTTATATCATTTGTCTGAGCCAACAAACAGTAAAATGGCTTAAACAAGTGTTAAATCATTATATAGTCCTTGAAATACCTTTTGATTGTGTATTTATCATATCATATCTTTGTTAATAGAACCCGAGAGACGAAGAGACCGCAGCAGAAAGACACAGCCATGGAGGTAGTGGATGATGTGTGTGAGTCCGAGGGTGTGTGTGAGGTTATGTGCGATGTGTTGTCCGACCAACCCGAGCATGGGGAATCCATGGAGACGCATGTGTCCGAGGAAGAAGCTGCTCGCATGGCAAAGTCTACCTCCGCTGAGGAGCACGCAGATCTTTCTGCTGCAGCCCACGGTGCTGGGAATATAAGCACCGAGCCACTACAACCACGATACTCCTACAGGTTAGTCTTTAAACAAGTCTGCAGGAAAGCACTGGAGATTCTCTGGTTATTTTTTGCCCTGTACGAAGAGAGGAATTTAGGGCTTTAGTCTTTAGTCATAAGATAAAATTCCAGTCTTTTTAAGGTAAAAAGTGCAATTTTGTAGTTAAGCAAACAGTAGAAAGGGTTCTTTCTATCATTTATGTGCAATATTATATATAGAAAATGTATGTGAGTTGAAAGCTTCATAATATTTACTACAATCTTTCTTATTTAAACGATAAACAATGTGACAAATGCAAAACAACAAAACAACAGCCGTGTTCTCGTCTCCCAGGGTTCCTACAACTGTGTGCTTCGGTCACGGCTCCGTCCGAGGCTTCAGAGGGCGGCGGGGAAGGAGGAAATGAGACACCAGAATTGAGCCTTCTATCTTTCTAAGATGTATAACTTTATACTCTTGTCGTGTAACAAAATGTATTTACTGTCATGTGTGTAATTAACATTAAAATGAGTTTTATTTTACACAAAAAAAAGTGACGTGTGTAGCCATTTGTTCAGGTGATGAAGAATACCTTTTATACCTTTTTATCGTTGTGTGTGGGTTTTATTTCTCTTCTCTTCCTTGTGGTGACATCCAGCCTGTCAACAACAGAACTAACTGCTAAGTGTAACACTTAATGTCTGTTTTTATAACAAACTTTATCAGTTCGTAAAGGAAATTACAATCTACTCCATATAGGATGCTGCTGACCTGTTATACAGGTGAAGAGTTTGACTAAAAATAATCCAAATGCATGTGTTGTGCTCTTAAAAGAACGATGCAGTGCAGCTCAGGGTGAGTTTTAAACGACTCCACGGGAATAATGTGTGAAGAGACAAACGAGAGCAATGTCACAATTTACAGAATAGATTTTAATAATTGTACAAAACACCTTTTCACCCATCAGATATAAAATACACTGTACATTAATGACTGATGTGAGTCCATCAGTCATGCTTAGCACTTGAGTGTTTGCAAAAATAGTTGATGACTTTTTATTTACATTTAGTAATGAAGCTGTGGTCTTGGACTTTTTAAGAAGCTCTTTGAACACCTGTGCAAAAAAAGTTCTCCTTTTGAGGTAATGTACAAAAAATAAAAAAACATTAAATGACAAAAGTAAAGCAGGATCATGGTTCATTTGTATTTCTGAAACTGGAAATTAAGAAGTTAGAAACAAACAGGTTTTGTGTTTTAGATATTACTGTAAAAGTAAATTCAAATTCAAAAGTAAAACATTTAATGACATATCATTACACCAGTAACTAAAAGGCAGTGATGAGCTCTTCATAGTCTTTTCCATAATGGTTCTTATTAATTGATTACTAGCTATTATGACCCACAGCATATAGTTATATATGAATGTAGCCTTCAGTGTGTGTTTTCTGTTAAATTACTTTGAAGTTGCCTCTTTATAGCTTCTGATCATTGTTTTAATTATATATATACCAATCAGTCGTGGCTGCTAACTTTTTTTCTTCCACCTTCGCCTTAAAGAAAGAAAGTCTGATTGAGTTATAAAGTCTATGATTAATGATTAAATAATTAAATCCCTCAACTATAAGCGTATTTTTGAATGTGGATGATGAATGATGCTGATGCTCTTCCCCAAAATATAAATATGTATCCTTTTTTAAGGTAAGACATTTTTAAAGGCCTCTGGTATGAACATAAAACATTCACATGACACCTGGAGTCATCACGAGTTATCGCTTTAAACTCAAAACTACAGGCCTTTTAAATAACTAACCATCTTCTCTTGCGATGTTAAAATGAGTAATTACGGAATAGCTCTATTGGAATAGAAAAGCTCACAATACATATATCTGAAAATGTAATCCGAAAAATGAGCCCGTCAGTAAAAATAAAAAAGATCTTACTGAATACGCTGCAAAAAAAATACCATGTTATTAAATAAATTACCGTAATGTAAATCATTCACAATTTTAAATTAACATGAAGTTAATTAAAAAATATGAAAAATTTCAATGGAGTGAAAGTATTTCACTTGTTCCAGGTGTTCCTTAAAATGAAGACAAATTGCATATATTGTGTGAAAATTATCCTTCTCACTCAATTAGATTTTTTCACTATTATGAAATATATTTAAAATTATTTTAATATTAGATATCAGGCAGATTTAAGATGGACATTTTTTTGCAGTGTTGATTATTTGCTGTATGAAGATTTTTTTTGTTTTTAAGGCAGCTGTCCCAACGATGCAGTTCAAAGTTAGTGAGGGTTAAGACAAGTAGTACATCCCATATGGTCCACTGAATAGTCCTGGAACAGGTAAGGCAGGCCGTGGTCCGTTCAGGGCCCCGTAGAGGGATGGGGCGCCCATCGGTGCGCTCAGGGGGAAGGGGAAGGCGAAGGCCGGCAGCAGCGGCTTTGCGGCCAGCTTGAACTTCTCCAGCTCGGCCTCCTGCAGTCTCTTGGCCTTGGCCCTGCGGTTCTGAAACCAGATCTTGACCTGGGTCTCTGTGAGGCTGAGGGAGTTGGAGAACTCCGCTCTCTCCGCGATGGAGAGGTACTGTTTCTGACGGAACTTCCTCTCCAGAGAAAGCAGCTGAGAGGTTGTGAAGGGAGTTCTGGGTTTCCTGTTGTTCTTGTGTTTCCGTAGATTGCACGGGGGCGGGCTGGGGAGTCCTGGAAGCATATTTATAAAAGTCACATAATTAGAACATGAGTCACAGTATATGTGATCGATATGGCTTAATTATATTTACTTAGTGACTTTGCTAGTTTGGATTTTACAGGAATAAAGTAAAACCAGATCAGGGAATAATCAAACAGAATATTTAGGCTGTTATCTCAAACTTTTAAAATCCCCATCAGCTCTAGATTTATTAAGTTATTATAATGTTGTACATTCACTGTTTCCAGAACAGTTTAAGACTGCTGGAAAGTTGAAAAATAGCGCATGAAAGATCCTACACTCACTTGGTGGAGATGCGTAAGGAGTCTGAATCCAAGGGCTCGTCTCCTTGTCGCTGAAGTCCACCGCTTCGGTTTTGGACCGATAAAGTCCCCCCGGTGACGCACACTCGGTCTCCTCTCCCCGGACGCATCCTGAGCCAGGCCCCGGGGAGTGGAGGCTTCGGTCCGGCGTCCTGTCTGATATGAGGGATTCCACACTGAAAGGCAGATCTAAACTTTTGGTTTTACACCTTCTGACAGATGACAGGTCCAGCTCGTCAGTTCCCATGCCACCAGCGGCTCGGTCCTCTGGTTGGGTCTCCCCTGGAGCAGCCGAGGGCGGCGATCCCTGCGCAGGATTCATTACGCACGACTGAGGTGCCATACAATCAATTTTCCTGCGGCTCTCTCCGTTGCTGTTTTTGTTTTTTAGTGTTTTCACTCGAGGGAATCTGTTGCCCAGGTTCCTCTGGTGTTGCGCAGCTGCTTGGTAAACTTTAAAGTTTTTACGCACGGACTTGCCTCTCCTTCAGTGAAGTGCCATGAGTTCCTCTCTCATCTTTCCGCCTGCCTATCAGTCTGTCGATGTTTCCACGTGATTCGACTAGAACAGTCTCTGATAGGCCAGGTTTGTAATGACAGTGTTGTGGTCCAGTTCGTGCGCCCATGGTGCTTTGACAGATGTAAACCTCCTCAGGGCGGAGTCTCCAAAGTAAAATACCCTCACAATTTTTGTCCAGCTGTGGGCTTCAGCACCATCTGACATTCAGCAAAGCACCACAGGCTGGAATTGAACCCAGTCCACCTCTGTTGCTTTAAGAGAGAATTATCACTCCCCTCTGCTTTAAAAAGAGCCCCAACAAAGTAATTTGTTTGGTTTTACAGCTCCAACATCACTGTTTTGATCCACTCTTAATGCTCTCATCAACCTTGTTTTCAACAGAAACAGGCAGCTACTCTACTGTACGCAACCTGTCAAGCACCAAATGACTGACAGCCAAAGTTAGCATCTAGTTGGTGAACACAGTGCAGCATTTAGTTGGTTGAGAACAAAACAGAGCTGGAAGGGAAGTGAATATGGACATACATTCATCCGGTAGACACAACCCTGACTCCTAATGAATGCTAATGTTGCTTTGTGTCCTCTGATGTTAGCATCTGTTTGCATTTTTATTGTATTAACTTAGTGATAATATGTCAACATTGGGTTTACAGTATGTTCTGCTGCCCCCAAGTGGCCAACAACCAAAAACTGACCCAAAACTTCACCAGATAAAAGTTTAATAGTATAAAATGTTTCTAGTGCCATAACGTGTATCTGAAAACTTGTGACTGAGAATATGTTGACAGTAGTTTATTACCGTGTTTCATTAAAGCAGTAAGCAATCTAGGTTGTGATTTACAGTACTCAATACTCTCAAGACTTATTATCACTATAAATTTCTATCTTGTGACTTGCAATCAAATTATTTATGGCTGTGTATTGCCCACATTTCAACCTATTGTGTTCATTGTCTGTAATCCCTTGGAGAGACAGTAAAACCACAGCTAATGTTGCAGAGGCCCATCGAAGAGGCCCATCCAAATTGGTTTTGTGCAGCTCTTCAAATCAACTCAAATCATTTTCAGTGAAACCCAATATGTGCGAGTTTTTCTCTCTTATGGGAACTGTTGTTAGGCCTGCAGCAGCACACTGGCTGCCTGTCTGTAGGACAATTGGTTAAATGGAGTTAACTGTTTCTGTCCCCGAGGTACATTTCTGCTTTGATCCTGCTGCGCCTGGCGCCTGTCTGCTCTCTCTCCCCCTCTCCCTCTCTTTGTGACAGTGATAGATCGCTGGGTAACCATACAAGCTTTCAATGACTGTAATTTAGTGCCCAACAACATTACATTCTCCTCTACTTACTGTGAATATTACCACTCTCACTCTCCTCCTGTTTGAAAAGGGATGTAGGGCTGCCTGTAATGTTTTGATTCTCCTCCATTGTTTTATAATGAATAAGTCAATTATATTTCCTGGTTCTCTCTGAGTTGCACGCACATGCCAGAAAAGTCAACAATGAGGATTTTGGTTCGAGAGCCCAGCAGCTGCACTACAGTGTTTTGTTTTTTTTGTTTGTTTCTTTTTTGTATTATAAAATATTTTCTGTCATTTTTATCCATCATCTTTCAATACATGTGGATGAATAGTGGAAACCAGTTAAAGTTATTTTGAGATGACAAGGTGTTTTCGTACAGACATCAACATGTGGGGCAAGCTACATTCATTTAACTCTCAAACACTGGACAGTGTTTTGGATGTTTGGAGGCCTTTCCTCCATTTCTGCTACTGAGTAGAAAAATCTGATACTGGAAAATGTTAAATTTTGACCTGATGATGGCACAAGATTAAAAGTCAAGGGATCACCAAAGTTATTAGGATCGTCTGGATCTCGGTCTTTTGCACAGACGTTTATGCCAATTCATCCTGTAGATGTTGAAGTACTTCACTGGATAAGTGAAATCTTTGACCTGTTGGTGGCGCTAGAGGAAAAGTCACCAAAGCCCTATGGATATCTGTACCAAACTTCATGGCAATTCATCAAATAGTTGACGAGACATGACACTAAAACCCAAAATGATGTCAACCTGCTGGTGGCGCTAGAGAAAAAAAGTCAGTTGGTCATGTGAAAATATTCACACTGTAATCTTCACTTAATTCTTTTAGTTTCCGTCACGACTTCAACTAAGAATCTTCTCATTTCACAGTAGTTCACTGTATTTCACTGCCTTCAACCAGTCAACTACTGTCTCACACACACACACACACACACACACACACACACACACACACACACATTTGCACACACCTCTCTGAACCCTGCCGGCTTGCCAAAGTGGAGAATTGTTTAAGGAGGTAATTGTGGTTTCTAAAAGAGTTCTCCTTTGGAACCAAACATGTTGAAGCAGGCTTTATATATTTCATTTAAAAAAATCTTTCTCTTTCATGAGAGTTGGCAGGTTTTACAGCTATCCTAAGCAAACTTTGGGGAAGGGGCTGGAGTCATGTGGGATAAACATTTATGAAACACACAGCGGGGAACTTTGTGGTGAAAGTGTATCGTCTTTAAAAGAGACGGGAGGCCTGCCTGGCGAAGCATAACAGAACTTTATCCTGTGTCTGAGTGGACCTGCCAACATTGGTATGTCAAATGTCAATGGACGTGAGATCACAAACTTTCCTTTCCATGCTGACATTTACAATAAATCACTCTACATAAATTCTCCTTATTGTCACAGACAGAATGAAGTGTTGATTGCCGTATGCACAAGTATCATATTTATTATTTGGCCCATTTCATGCAGAGATCTAACCAAGTCAGCTTTGCTGACCTTAAATTGGTCTCTTGTCTTAAAACAGTAACAAGTTAAGTCTCATATCGAAATGTAAAGAACATTAGTTCCCTACCAGTGTCCGAAATAAAACATATTTTGAACATTTTAACTGTATATTATGGTTTTAAAAAATCAAAGCTACTCTGTCTCATCTTTATTTTATACATAATACAACTTTAGTCAGATTTGAGTTCAGTTTACCATCCCAGAACCTCTAATCTAGTTCCTGTACAATATATCTTTACACCATCATTGATAAATATTAACTCTGTGACCTTTTCCGTGACTAGTTAATTTCTCTGCATCACATGATGATTGTGTCACATGGCAGAATCAAGGGGATGCAGTGAGGACTTTAACATGAGCAAAGCTAATTCTACCATAACAGGTCTAATGAGATAAACCATGGAGTATTTATTTTATTACACCTACTTATTAAACACCAATTATCACTTATATGTGGCACTAGCCGCACTCACACTGTAAATTGGTATGACTGAGTGTTATATTAATTACTGAAACAATAAAGACAAGCCGGCTCACTTGGCTGCAGCTCAGTTTAACTGAGCCCTATCATGCCAATCATGCCAAAGAGGATGTGGAGGGCCTGAGGTCTTCCTAAGGGATGGTTTGCCTTATCTGATCGGAGTTTGAAGAGAACTGCAACAACATGTCAGCCTTGATTAGTTGTTTCATCTTTCCCACCGTCAGCATATTATGACATTTGGGCTGCTACTCTCTCTGCACCCCCCTCAAGGTCAGGTCTAACCTGTTGACTGTGTAAAATATCAGATATGACTTGCTGGCCGTATAACGTACTTAAATTTTCTCCTGCTTCTAACCTGCCTCAGGTGGTGCTGAGCCGCAGATATTATCTGATAACATTTCTCAGGTTGTCACAAAGTAAAACATGAGAGAAGGCTTTACTGAGAGTGACTAAAGGCTAATTAAGTGCTTGTCAGATGGTTGGACAACTTCTGTCTTCACACAAGTATGTCACTTTTTGTGTGTACAAGTGCAAGAATGCCTTTCAGAAATGATTGTGTGTGCCATTATCCCCATTTGAACGATCATCACATCACGCCCCTCTCTGTGAAGGCACACTTTCCACCCCGCCTTAGAGTGTGGTTTTTTTTTTTTTTTTAGAACAGCCTTATGCCTTCAGATGTGGTCAGATGACATGTTTTACGGACCTGTTGCTTCCGAGCATACCCCTGCCTTTACTCATTACAACAAATATGGGGTTTTTATGGCTCTGTTTTGAAGCAGGAACAAACTACATAATATCAGCAAAAAAATTCAAATAAAATGAGCCTTTGGCCTAATTATTTGTAGTTTTATCCTGTGTTGCGTGTCATAGTACGAGACAACCCAAGTTTGAGGTGTGCCCAAAATGAAAACGACCACTTCTGAGGAAAAAACTGTTTATAGTGGTTCGGAAATGCCACACTCGTAGGGAGGACATAAAAAGCCTGTTGTCAGGGGCGAGAGACAAGAGCGTACAAATGGGAATACCAGGGCATACTTACAGACGGTCCTTTCTTGAAGGAATTCAGGGTGTTGCACATGTTTGTACAGCTGAAAAGTGATGGATAAGTGAATTTAAAAAAAAGCAAGTGGATGATATTGGTTTTGGCCGTCCAATTCTGGCATCAAAAAAATGTGTGGGGAGGGGGTTTCAGAAGCTTTTTGGAATGCAGTAAATGCTTTGTTTGAAGCATACCTGTCTCAAAATGTTCGATTCCGGGTTAGGGAAGAAGTGAAGCCTGATCCCAGAATTTCACAAATTGAGGCAGCTGAAACTCAAAATACAGAATATTGATAAATGGACATGTTTACAGCACCATAAGGTGAGGTTGTGACTTTTAGGTAGTCACTGTGAGGATGATATCTCAATAATTTCCCTCTAGAGGAAGACATACTGGGGCTCACATGGCAGATGATGCTTGAAACCTGTGTAATTACCTGATGGGTTGTTGATTGCTTAAGTGCTTTTCATTTATCCTCTATATGTTAGCATGAGTCGGCTGCCAGGGGAAAGCGTTGACAGGTGAGCAGCGAGCGGGTTATTATGCCTCTGTGTGTTTTGTATGTAGGATATTGGGTTTGGTGACAGGAAGGCGCGTTCCACATGGCGTCTGACAGAGACGAGCAGAGTGGCTGGCTGATGGGCACTCGGCAGTGAGTCCTTCCTGCAGTGCCAGGTGCTAACAGGTGAACACAGAGATATTGTTGCTGTATTGTTGTGATCTGGGAGGAACGGAGGGAGACAAAGGGAACCGGACACCCTCTCTGGACCTGGAG